ACAGAGCCCGAAGGCTTGGGGATGTCGAGGGGGGGTGGGGGCGAGGTGGGGGGTATCGGTCGATTTTGGGCGAGAAATCGCGGGGTCGGGGGTCCCAAGAACAGAGCCCAAATGCCTGGGGATGTCGAGGGGGGGTGGAGGCGAGGTGGGGGGGTTCGGGGGTCGCAAGAACAGAGCTCAGAGGCCGGGGGATGTCGAGGGGGGGTGGAGACGAGGCGAGGGGCGAGGTGGAGGGTATCGGTTTGTTTTGGGCGAGAAATCGTAGGGGTCGGGGATCCCAAGAACAGAGCCGAGAAGCTTGGGGATGTCGAGGGGGGGTGGAGGCCAGGTGGGGGGCGAGGTGAGGGGGCATCGGTCGTTTTTGGGCGAGAAATCGCGGGGTCGGGGGTTCGAAGAACAGGGCCCAGAGGCCTGGGGATGTCGAGGGGGGGTGGAGGCGAGGTGGGGGGCGAGGTGGGGGGTATCGGTCGTTGTTGGGGCGGTTTGTTTTGGGCGAGAAATCGCAGGGGTCGGGGATTCCCAAGAACGAGCCTAGAAAGCTTGGGCATGTCGAGGGGGGTTGGAGGCCAGGAGATGGGGGGGCGAGGGTGGGGGGGGTATCGGTCGTTTTTGGGGGGGGGGAAAACAATCGTGGGTCGGGGATCCCAAGAACAGAGACGAGAAGCTTGGGGATGTCGAGGGGGGGTGGAGGCCAGGTGGGGGGCGAGGTGGGGGGTATCGGTCGTTTTTGGGCGAGAAATCGCAGGGTCGGGGGTCCCAAGAACAGAGCATTAGGGAGGGGGGGGGGATGTGGGTGGTATTGGTCGATTTTGGGCGAGAAATCGCGGGGCCGAGGGTTCGCAGAACAGAGCCCAAAGGCTTGGGGATGTCGAGGGGGGGTGGAGGCGAGGTGGGGGGTATCGGTCGAGCTTGGGCGAGAAATCGCGGGGCCAGGGGTCCCAAGAACAGAGCCCGAAGGCCTGGGGATGTCGAGGGGGGGTGGGGGCGAGGTGGGGGGTATCGGCTGATTTTGGGCGAGAAATCGTGGGGTCGGGGGTCCCAAGACCAGAGCCCACAGGCCTGGGGATGTCGAGGGGGGGTGGAGGCGAGGTGGGGGGGTGGGTGGGTGGGGGTGGGGGGGGGGTCCAAAGAACAGGGGCCAGGTGAGCGGCGGGGAGGAGGGCGTTGGGTGTTTTGGGTGAGAAATCGTCGATGGAAGGTGCTAAGAATAGAGGCTACCTTTGATGGAACGGACGGGGCCAGGTGGGGGGGCGGGAAGGGGGGCGATGGTCAGCTTTGGGTGGCGAATCTTGGGGTGTGGGGCGTGGTGGGCCACAGCGGCTCGACGGGGTGGGGGTGCCAGGGCGCGAAGATGGATATCGCTCGCTGTTGGGCGAGAGATGTTGGGGGTGTGGCTAAGCGGGGCCACTTTCCCGCACACGCCTCTGGGGTCGGCGGATTATTACGACCGCGCCTACCATCATAGCTGGGACTACCGGTACAATGCTGGTCGCATCGCGACTGCTACAATTGCAGCACGGTCGGCGCGACCAATTCTTTCTCATTATTAAGACTACGAGTACAACGAACCAGCACTACTATTATTCTTGCCTTTAGTCCACTTTCTGGACGAGCACAACTACTAATCTGATTCCTGCTACTACGACCACTGCGACCACCACTACTACCAGAGCTACTACTGGTCCCCACTGTTATTTCGATCGTTATTTTCACATTCGTTATTATGATTTCTACAGTGCCCGCGCCCGCCACGTTACCGTTCCCCCCCGCGGAGGCCCGACCCACCCAACACCCCTCCCGTCACGGACTTCATTGCGGGAAAATATCAAAATGTGGCAGCGTCGATTCGCAAGAGATAGCAGGATGGCATGGGAGGCTTCAAGGAGTTGAGTTCCCACAGCCCCTCCTCGTCCCCATCTCTGTGCATGCTGCACGTGTGTGCATCATGTGTGGTTGCTCTCGATGTTGGCACTCCCTGTGAATCGGGGGGTGTCTTGTCTTGACTTGTATTGTCCTCCTCCCTCTTCTCCCTACTTCCTCCTCCTCCTCCCCCCTCCTCCCCCCACTTCCTCCCACCACCACCCGCCAGGAGTCCGAGTACGACGCTTTCGGCGCCGGCCACTCCTCGACCTCGATCAGCGCTGCCGTGGGCTTCCAGACTGCAAGGGACATCGCCAATCCAGCTTCCTCGCCTTCGTCCACCTCGTCATCATCACCATCGTCTCCGTCCTCTGATTCGCACCCCTCCGCCTGATTTTGGAGCGCGTCCTCTCGCCTTCCCCCCTCCGTCGTCGTCGTCGTGGGCGTCGCCGTGGTCGTGGTTGCGGCCGTTTTCCTGAGAAGGCTGGGCGGGCCCAGGACCAGGCTGCGTCACGCCACGGTGCTCCAGAACGCTCTAGGAGCGCTCCGGAATGGCCGTGGCGCCCGCAGCATCGTCCAGAACCGCCGGGCCTCAGAGATTTGTCGCCCATCTGTGGCTCGTTCGTTCGCACGTTCGGAGGTCCCAGATCCGTCCATGTCCGACGTAGGACCCGATCCTGAGTCGTCTTGCGGGGAATGCCGAGCCCGCCCGCGCAAGGGGGTGGCGACCTGATGCCTCGCGGACGGGCAGGGGCAGGCAGCGCAAGACGGGGAGGAGGAGATGAGGAGGAGGAGGAGATGAGTAAGAGAAGGGGGGAAAGGTGGAGTGGAGGAGGTGGAGGAGCGGAGTCGAGTGGAGTGGAGTGGACACCATGACAAGGTCATATCAACCACTGCCTTCCCTCTGAGCACCACGGACACCATGACGACGAGGCCGAGTTCCACGGCGATGTACACAGGGACTTTGCGCTGCGATACTAAAATATGTGTTCACCATGTTGCGCTACTTGGCATCGCTCGGACGTGTGCATTGTTCTCGGCGAGGACAATTGAGGAGCATCTTGGATCATCGAGCAACAGATGGCACACACAACATAAACAACTACACGGGAAATGGACGTTTGAGCGATGGCAAGACAGCCACCGAACAGTTCTGAACGAATATGCAAATATCACGCCTGGGAAGCCCTCGACAACGCCCGTGAACCTCCAGCCGAGAACGCTCAATAGCGGAGTGGGTGGCGCAAAAGATTGATGCCGTGTGGCACACGGGAAGGCAGCCAGAGTTGAAACGAAGTATTTTCATACCACCGTGACGCTATGCACGGTGTTAGAACATATGCCAGCTTGCTAAGTGCATGAGGGTATGGTTCGCACTCGCGCACGCAAGAATTAAGAATCTCACACCAACCGGCAAGTAGAACAGATACATTCCCCAAGCAGCTATGGGAGATGCACGTATTATAGCTGACGAAATCTGCGCCTTGTTTGGCGTGCGGAGAACGCAATGTCACATTCCCCATGCGGCAGCAGGACACCGACCCTGCGTAGTAGCTGATGAAAACCGCTGCACACACCTCTAAACGTTGAGATCCTGTATAGCGCCTGACAGGACAAGGAGGAGGAGGAGGAGGAGGAGGAGGAAAAGAGGAAAAGGAGGAGGAAGAGGAGGAGAGGATCTCAGAGATCCCTGATCTGCGTTGGTCCGTCTTTGTTCCAGTCTTGACCTCCTCTCCGGCACGAAGCGAAAGAAGGGGGAGAGGAGGAAAACGAGGAGGAGGAGGAGGAGGAGAAGAGGACGAGGAAGGAGGAGGAAGAGGGGAAGAGAAAGAGGACGGGGGCAAGGATGAGAGAAGGAGGAGGAGGAGGAGGAGGAGGAGGAGAGAACGAGGAGGAGAGGAAGAGGAAGAGGAGGGCTTGCCCTTCCTTGATCGGGGAGGGCGGTGGGTTGGCTGCATAACAGTGGTCCGTGATACATCTGCCCCGCCCCGCAGGGGGCGCGAGGGCAGTCGGACATGGACGGGCGATCCTCACACGCCTGCCCCATGGGACATCCGCCCGAACGTTGGGCGGTTGTTGGGGCTGCGGCAGGAGGAGGAGGAGGAGGAGGAAGAGGGGGGGAGGAGGAGCAGGAAGATGAGGAGGGGAGCGAGAGGGGGGAAGGAGGAAAAGAAGAGGAGGGGGGGAAGAGGAGAAGGAGGAGGAGGAGGAGGACAAGGAGGAGGAGGAGGAGGAGGAAGAGAGGAGGAGGAGAAGATACAGAGGAGGTGTGTATTAGGAAGAGAAGTAGGAGGAAACTGAAGGGGGAGAATCCAAGCCCCCCCCGCCCGGCTCAGGACGTCCAGGGCAAGCCCGGGCACAGCGTCGCGGTCATCGGCGACGGCGCCATCACCGGCGGCATGGCGTGGGAGGCCGCGCATCCCCTTTTCTTCGAAGGAGGAGGAGGACAACGACGACGAGGACGAGGGTGAGGTTGCCGAGGATCGGTGGCGAGCGAGAGGGGAAGTCAGAAGGAGAAGGTCTTCTCTGAAGGCGGCGGGGCTTCTGAGGAGCCCTTGCGACTTCTGAGAAGTTTTCTGTCTCTTCGGGAAAGGCGTAGAAAACTTCTCAGAAGGCCAGGGGCCTTCCGAGCCTTCCGAGAAGGCCCGCCCCGTCTCACGTCACCCGCAGGCGCGCCGCCGAAGGAGGGGTTCCTTGGAGGAGTTTTTGGCTGATTGCTTGGAGTTTTCTCGCCTCGGGGTGCTTTCTCCATTAGCTGCGCCTCATCGAGAGTTTTTCGTTTCCCTGGGATACCCCAGTCGTCCCGAACGGCCGCTGGAGGCCAGAGTTCGGACCCGAAAGCTATCCGGGCTTGCTCGGACCGTCGCGAACGCCGCCGCGCCAGGCGATGAACCACGCGGGTGGCATGGGCTCCAAGGTGGTTGTGATCCTCAACGACAATGGCCAGGCGCCGCCAGCCCGCGACAGGAGGGGGGGAAGCAGCATTTGCGAGGAGGAGGAGGAGGAGGAGGGAAGGGGGGGGACGAGGAAGAAGATGCCGTCACGGCTCACCAACCACAGTCTGTGTAGCGTAAGCAGGAGGAGGGACGATGAGAAGCCATTTCTTCCTGGCAAGGGGCTCCGAAGTTCTCCCCCCACCTCCTGATCGCGAACAGCCGCGCGCTCCATCCGGCGCACAGGTGTCCCTGCCCACCTTTTACAACGCGGTCAAGAACCCCGTAGGCACGCTGCCGGCGCGCGCGGATCTTCCGCCAGAGGTTCATTCCGCAAGAGGTTCAGTGCAACACGGGTAGGAGGAGAGAAGGTTTCGGGCTGCACGCAGACGGACTCCATCTTGGTTTTCTTGGCTAGCCTCAACAGGCCCCCCGAGTATCGGGCCGGACGAAAGTGGGGGATTGGGAAAGGGGGGGTACGAAATCTGCTGCATGCAGCTGGTTTCGGCCCCGCCGCCGGGCCCATTCCTCGATACATGGCCGCCGCCTGCGCCGGGAGGCGCCGGGAAAAACAGCTACGTGAGCTGATTCTCAAACCCCCCCTTCTGCTATCCCCCCCTTTCGCCCGGCCCGAGAGTAGTCCAGGGCGGTCTTGACACCCTGGCGCCACCTGCGGCGGGGCCCCTGGAGCGCTCCGCACCCCAGGGTTAGGGTGTTGTAGGCTCGGGAGAATTCGGGAGGGCTGCATGCGCGCAGCTCGAAGCCTGACCAGAGGATGAGAAGGAGGAGGAGCAGGAGCAGGAGCAGGAGCAGGCGCACGAGCAGGAGCAGTAGTGAGGAGGAGGAGGAGGAGGAGGAGGAAGAGCAGGAGTAGGAAGAGGAGGTGGAGGAGGAGGAGGAGAAGGAACAATTGACAATACTGTTGGAGGAGGAAGAGGTATGGATATTGCTGTCCGTCCCTCGTAGGCATGGATGCGTTCGCCTCCCAATCCTGGCGCCCCCCTGCGCTCTCAGAAGGCCCCTCGCTCTCTCAGAAGCCCCCCCCCCGCGCCACTCCCCCTTTGTGGGCGCTGCCAACCTCCCTTCCCCAGGTCCCAGTCCCTTCTCCTACCCCCCTCCCTACTTACCCGTCCATCTCCCCCCCCTTCTCCTCCCAGCGCCTCTCCGCCCCGTGCAGCCTCGTTTCCTCTCCCTCGTCCTCCTCCTCCTCCTCCTCCTCCCCCTCCTCCTGATCGTCATCCGTTCCGGGTCCATGCCGATCCGATTCGTCATCGATTCTGGTCTTCTCGATCCGACTTGATTCTGATATCACGAGGATCTGGTGCGGCCCGATGTTTGCATGGCGTTGCTGTGAATCTTGACGCAGCCCTTTTCGATTTCGACGCTGTACCCGCTGCCGCCCGATTCGACGCATGTTCCGATGCGATCTGATGTCCTGATTCGATGTTGATTGATCTTGATTATTCCTCGCCTCCCCTACCCCTCTCATCTTTCCTCCTCTCTACCTCCCTTACCCCTCCCAAGTATCCCTACTCGCTTGGGAAGGCGCGCTGTCCCAGACGCTTGGCAATACGAGCGAACCGGAGAGCCAGAGGGGCCTCAGCATCCAGAACGACTTCGCGAAGATCGAGACCTCGGAAGGATTCCAGAACGCCAGGACCGCCCCAGCACAGCATGGGGCGCCCTCTGGGGGGAAAGAGACCAGCTTCGAAGAGGAACAAAAACCCAGAAACATAAACTTTCGGCGCTCCGCCAAATGTTTGCGTCTATGGAGTTTTTTCTTAAGGAAAGACCAGCTGAGGGAGGAGGGGGAGGAGGGGAAAGAATGGGCCTTGGGCCGATCAGGAGAAGGCCCATGGCCCATGGCGCTTCCCAGGACCAGCGAGTCGACTCTGAGTCCCATCCGGCTTCGATTTCCCGATTCGACGTTGATCGATCATGTCATGAAGGGAATTTGATTTTTAATCCGCGAAGCAAGTCCCAGGTCCCAGGGCTTTCCCCAGGACCAGTTCTTCCTCCTGAGTGGTTTTCTGACTCGCCATCGCCTCGAAGAAAGAGGGTCGTTCGAATGACAGATTGGAATAAACATAAACATTCGGAGGTCCTCTCGGGTTTCTCACATCGGCGCTGACACCCCCCCTTGGCGGCGTCTCTGCCGCCGCCCCTGGCGCGCTCCGCGCACCAGGGAAGGGGGTCCATCGCCGAACTGAGAAATCCGCCCAGACTCCTGAAAGTGTGTGTGTGTGGTTATGCTGACTATTGGTATCGTGCTGATTCGAGACTCTTAATGTAACCCCACCAGCCCATCCATAAACGATGCCCAGTCGAGTTGCCCTGATCAGGACTATGGAGGAGCATGCAGTGGAATAACGGGCTGGGGAAGCCGTCATACCCCAAGCGGGGGAGGATGTAAGACGAACCGGAGGAGGAGGGGATGGGGGCGGGTGAGGTGGAAAAAGGAGGAGGACGAAGGAGGAGCAGGCGGAGGAGGAGGAGGAGGAGGGCGAGCAGAATGACCAGAGGCCTCTCGGATGCCGCTCGGAGTCGCTCCGGATGTCTCCTGGAAGCTTCTGTCAGTCCTGCGTCTTGGGGGCCTCTTGGCGGTCCTGGGGGCCTTTGGGAGCGTCTTGGGTGCCACGGGAATGCCTCTTGGGAACCTACTGGGGGCCTCTTGAGGCCGCATGGGCACCTCTTGGGACACTCTTGGGAGCCTGGGGATCCATGTTTTGGGGCTGGAGGAGATCAAGGAGGGGGGGAAGGGAAGGGGAAGTAGATTACAATCCCTCCCACCAGGAGGCTCAAAGTGGCCCAAAACCAAAGTAACATCACAGATGTTTGCCTTCTCGCCGAGGCAGTAATGGGTCGCGGGGCGCCCCGTCCAGGTCTAGGGCGAGGGGGGTGGAGGGGGAAAACCTTTCCCCCAAAGGGGAAGAAGGGGGTTGGGAGAAGAAACGCTCTCAACCACTCACGCCCTAAATGGTTGGTGGGATTCTTCTGATTTCTGCGATTGATCTACTTTCTCTTGTCATGCTTCCTGTTATTATTGATTTCCTTGCCCTCGCTCTTACGATGTTCCTGCTGGTTCTTCTTCTCCTTCTCGTTGTCGTCATTGCTGCCGTTGGTTTTCTTTGCAGCCGTCGCCCCCCCCTCCCCCCCCGCATCCTCCTCCTCCTCCTCCTCCCCCCTCCTCCTCCTCCTCCTCCTCCTCCTCCTCCTCCTCCTCCTCCTCCTCCTCCTCCTCCTCCTCCTCCTCCTCCTCCTCCTCCTCCCCCCCCCCTCCTGCGGCGCGCCCCTCGCCGCGCGCGAAGGAACTTCGCGAAGGCGGCGTCGAGGTCGCTGCTGCCGGAGCAGCTGCAGACCGCAGCCGCCAAGGTCGACGAGCGCGCGCCTCTGCCACGGGGTCGCGGGGGGGTCGCGCGGCCAGAGGCGCCCGCGGGCCGCTCGCGAAGGAGAAAACCACACCAGTCTTCTGCATCGAAGAAGACACCGCCCTTTTCGGGGCGGGCTCGGGGCTCTTCGACGGCCGCGGCCGCCCGCGCCCCGCCCTCGCCCTCGTCCACGCCCCTGGCCTCGCCCTGCCCTCGCCCTCGTCCTCGCCCTGTCCTCGCCCTCGCCCTCGCCCTCGCCCTCGCCCTCCTCCTCGCCCTCGCCCTCCTCCTTCGAGAGGCGCTCGGGCCGCTCGCGAGGGAGAAAACTAAATTTAAGTAGGGTTTGTCCTTCTACAGGGGGAATACTCAAACATATTCCAAAAATAGTACGTTTTTTTTTTTTGAGTATTGTTTTACCATTTTGGAATATTCTGTGAGTGTTTTTGATTTTTCGTCGAAAATCCCCCTGTAGGGAAACACGCCCGACTTAAAACTAAATCACGACGGCAGGTTCAGTATTTTCTGTCCTTTGCATCGAAGAAGACAACGCCATAAACATAAACGTTTTGGAGCCCCGCGCGGATATCGTGGATCTGCGCTGGACCCCTCCCTGGCGCGCGGAGCGTGCCAGGGGCGGCGCCGCAGGCGCCGCCAGGGTGTCCAGCGCGGATTCAAAACAATCCGCGCGTAGCGTCGCAAGTTTATGTTCATGGCGTTGTGTACTATTCTATTTCAGTTGCCGTAAATTGCCTTGGTATTCGTATATTCCGCGGAAGCAAGTTGCTACTCCAGACCCTTTTCAAGGTTTTCATCCGGAGCGTCCGTGGATATCGCTACGCAGGCATAACTCACAGAATTTGAACGTGAAGTTGACCGACTCCGGGACGAGGAAAACAAATCTCCAGACGTACAACACCGGCATTTAAAAAAGGTATCACGGCGGTGGTCGGCAATTTCGATGGTTGCATTTCCCTTGGGGATGTTTCCAAATGGTTGCAGACGGACCTGAAGAAGTTAGAGGCTTCAGGACGCACGACTTATATTGAACAGGCAATTTCGAAAACGTCTTCTTTTGCGAGTTCGAGACCAGAGAAGCCTGGGATACAGCAGCGGCTCAAATCCGGGGCGCGAAGCTGCAACGCAAACGTAAGACAGCGCGGTCGGCCCAAAACCGCCCCCCGCTTGACCGAGCATCTTGCAACCTTTGCTCTGGTCTGAAGTACTTCCCCCAAAACAAAATCGTCACAGGGTGCGCCATACGAGCTGCAGACAAACATCCCTATGCGGTGGAGTTGGGAGGCGAGCCCGCCCTCACAGCAGAAATCGATGGACAAAATGCAAAGAAGGTGTGGCCAAACATTTGGGGCAGATGGACAGAATTGCGCGATCACCCAGATTTCAAGCAATTGGTGGCGGCCTGCGATGGCACTGCGCAGAGGGCCCTTTAGGCATGAACGACAAGGCAGTCGACAATAGGAACCAACGGCAGGTGCAGACCCTCACCAGCACCGGAGCCGACGCCAGAGCCGTCCACACCCATAAGGGTATCCCAGTTTCCGTTTCACTCAAGATTCTCGCTGGCACCTTCGATGCGGACACACGAGCCGGACGAGATCAACGCATCCGCGGATGCCATCTCGTTGGCCGTTCGACTGCACGTTGCACACTTCGGTGCTGATTTGTTCCGTCGGTTCAGGCGAGGGCAAAAGTGCCGCGACCAGGCTTGGCAGTTCCCATGCGCCTGGGCAGGCCGCAAATATGTGCCCCCGACTGTTTCGCGACCTCCAACTCCACGATTTTCTACACGCGGCACTTCTTCACAATGTGGAACAAAGGGCCCCATGACACACATCACCTGAAATGCAAGAGGGGGTTCATATATCAAAACAGCTAACACAACACATGGCCACTCATGGAATCGACGTGTTCTGCGCCCAGGAGTCCAGGAAGCCAGAGGCAGAAGTAAATTTGGAACACGACCATCACATATAGTGTTGTTTGGGGCAGACTGCGATGGCAGCACTTGGGCTGGGGCTGGATTTCATCGCTGCACCGCGGCTGCGGAGATTTGCCAAATCATGCAAACGCGTTTCCGACAGGATTCGCGTCTTGAAGTTGCGCTCGCAAGCCCAAGCGTTCGGCCTGGTTGTCGCCCATGCGCCTCGCAACCAACGGCCGCCAGTGGAGCGCGCCAACTTCTTCGACGCGCTGGATATAGAGCACTGGGCTTGCTGCGCGAACTACGGCGAACTAATGCAAGACAAGTTGATTGCAAGAGTGGGCCGAGCATGTCCCGGCGAAGATGGAGCCATTGGGCCGCGCGGCCAGCGATGGGAATCCGCGCTCGAAGTGGAAAGACCCAACAGAGATACATTATTCGAGTTCTGCATTGGGAATGGCTTTGTCATTGCCAACGCGGTCCATTGAATGAAATCTCGGACAAGTGATTTTCAGGGGGGCCAGGATAGCCGCGCAGGCTCCGATCGACATCCCCGCGCGCGGCGTTTTAGATCTTCGCGCGCGCGTCAGGTGCTCTAGGTTGAATCATGTCGCTCCGGCGTTGGCGCGGCGCAGAGCTCGCGAACGACCGCGTCTTCGCCGCCTGCTGCGCGGCGTTGTCGACGCCCTCAGACGCGCGACAAAGCCGCGCCAAGACAGGCGCGGCTGCGTTGGGCGACGAGGAAATACGCGAACATTCCACGGGCGCATTTCTTCAGAACGTCGAGATGGGACCAAAATGCACGGCAAATTGGGCAATGCAGAAAAAGCGACAGCGTTCGCAGGAGAAAGCAAAACGACCCCGCAGCGGGGAGTCACGGCGCGGGAGCCGTGGAGACCGCGCAGAACGTTGGACTTGATCGCGAAGGAGCCAGGCAAGATTGCAGAACCATGCGGGGGAATATACAGGCGGTTGAAAGAGGCGCGACAATCAGCCACGATCGACAGAACGGATTGGGTGGACAAGCGCAACCAAGGAGGATTTTGGGCCGTCTTGAAAAATACGCGCCGGTCGAAGCCCCGCCGACAAGATTGATTCCACAATCTACGAGGCGAGGTTGTCTATGGCGAAGAGCAGGCGAACGGCATTGCCGAGCATTTGGAAGAAGCGCAATGCAAAGTCCGGCCTGCGGAAGCGGCGGGCCGAGCATTTCCCGCAGACTTTCCCGCCCATTGCATGCGCCGAATTTCCAGGCAAAGATGTTGGATTCGCTACTTCAGAATTGAAGCGTGGAAAATCCTGGACCAGATGACGCACCAGCTGAGCGTTGGGGGATTTTGATAGCAAAGGTAAGAAATCGATTACTTCGTTGATTCACGCGTGTTGGATGGAAAATCAAGCGCCGACGGAGTGGAGACGCGCCGATGCCGCGGCCATCTACAGGAAGAAAGGCCCAATCGACCGGCGCGACAATCGCCACCCCATCAGCCTTGCGCGCGCGGCGCACAAGTTATTGGCGCGCCCATTGCCCGGGGGGGCCACAGGGCGCTGAGGCCGAGAGCAGACTGACAACGACGCAACTCGGCTTGAAGAGGCGGAGGGGCGGCGCCGATGCGATTCACGTCGCGCGCAGACATATCGAAGTATCGCGCGCTGGGCGGGGGGGGGGGGGGCAGCAGCTATGCTAGCGTTGGACTGGAGGAGGCATTCGATTCGACCAACGTGGCCGCTCTTCCGGGCGCACTGCGGGTTCTCGGTGCACCATCACACATGCCTTCTCTCATTGGTCAGGTTTACGATGACAGACGTTCGCGCGCGGCAAACGGGCGACAGAGATTAAGCATCGGAAGCCGACGACCGGGAATTTCGCAAGGTTGCCCTCTATCGCCGTTCCTTATTGTCGCGGTGATGAGCGCAGTTCTCAAGAACGCAGAAGACAAACTGGACGAGGCATCGCTCAAACCATATGCTGCTCGGGATATGTCTGGTTTCCTGCGCGCCGATGACGCTCTCTCGGTTGGATGGCGCGCTGGTCAACTACAGACGCTGCTGGATGCACCTGCAGAAGAAGGAGCAGAAATGGGGATGGAGCTTCATTGGGATAAGTTTCAATGTGTACACAGAGCTGCGACCTCCAGATTTTGGCCCCCCAATCGTCCTTTGCTTGTTCCGGCAACGTGAAGCAAGAGGAACTTCAAACATACGCAAGGGTTTGGAAATATACATGCGTCAGGGAAAAATGGAACCTCAACGTGTTTGGGGCGCTGGCTATTATTGAATGTATGTATTATTTGAACCTTGTCTGCCCGGCGAAACAAGAGCGACAGAAGGGGCGAGGTGCCTACGCCATGTTCTGAACATTCCTCGCTCGTATAACTCAAGGGTGACCAACGACATTGCGCTGCAGCAGGCGGGGGCGACATCTTACAGTGGCCAACTCTTCCAGCATCAGCTTATGTGGGTTGGTAAACTTGGCCGCAGCAGCGACGCGAACATGCTGCGAAAATGAACCTTCCAGCCAGAATTTGAGGCCGATCACTGGTACTCTTGCCCCGACGCGTGGGTGCCCCAGGCACGAGGGGGCGAAGTGTCTGCAGAATGCGATCAGGAATTATTTCGAATCTGGTTCTTGTCTGTCCTGGTGCGTCGCAGACTGTCCCAGTGCGTCGCAGACAACCGACAATATTGTCGTTATGCCAATTATAAAGCGAATGATGTGGCATTTCGTTTGTATTTAGTTGGTTCCTTTTCCTCTGTCCTCCCTCCCCTCTGATTTGCTACTCCGCAGACGTGTTGCACTGCCCTGTTCCGTCTGCTTCACAGTCGTGGGGCGTTCCGTTCTTCTTCTGCGTCACAGTCGTGATGCGGTTTGCTCTCTAGCGTCCGACGCGGTACGCATTTTTGCATTCATCTGCCCGCGCGTTTTGCCGGAGGCAAGGCCCACCAGGAGCAGAGCAATGCAACGCGTTGTCTCGCCCACACGCCATGGGCGTATGGCCTTTTTGAATTGACATGTTGCCAGCAGCTGCGCTTCGCAGGGGGCGTTCCCTGGGTGCCCAGATAGTCCAGAACG